TGGGTCAGAGGCGCTAAGGAGATGGTGGGGTATAGAGCGGCTCAGCTGCTTGTCTCAGCCATGGAAGTTTACCAAAGTGTCCTCCTCAACACGTGAGTCACACGCCTCTGAGATGGCTCCTGCCCCACTTAGAGTGAAGAAATATGGCAGTCCTATTTTCGCATAATTTTTTTTCTTCCTGTTACACTCGTGGTCATGTTGCAGGAAGGGGAACCCCTTCTAGGACCTGAGATGGGCTCTTGTCTAACACTCGGAGACAAAATGCCTGAGAAGACACATGCTGACAAAGCAAGAGACTCTATTGGGAAGGGGAGCCGGGGTAGAGAGCGAAGGAGGTGAGGGAACCCAGGAGGACCGCTCCGCCACGTGGCTCAGTCTTGGGTTTTATGGCTGTGGGGTTAGTTTCCAGGTTGTCTCTGGCTAATCATTCTGACTCGGTCCTTCGTAGTGGTGTGTACATTACTCAGCCAAGATGGACTCCAGCAAAGAGGATTCTGGGAGGTTGGTAGGACATATGGACTGCTGTCTCCTTTTGACCTTTCCCAAATTCTTCCGGTTGGTGGTGGCTTGTTAGGTAGCGCCATGTTCCTTTCTGGGAACTGCTGTCAAAATAACTCATGCAAATAAATGGTTACGGGCCAGAGTAGGTGGTGTCAGTCAGTGTTTCCCCTAACAGTCATGGTAGGAGGTAGATAATGTTATCTCCATTTTTTTCCGGATGAGGAACCTGGAAGTGAAAGATGTAAAAAAAAAAAAAAGTGACCCACTTAAAGTCACACAGCTCATTCAGAGCTGGACTCCCAGGGCCGGCCTGTCTGATTCCAAAGCCAGGGAGGCGGATCACGACACTGTGTGGTCACTTAATGCAGCTCCAACTGGTCTGAAGTGGTTCTACTCCTCTTTCTCAGGAAATCTGTCTGTGAGGGAGGCAGTGTGGGTCATAGGAAGGTGAATTGATTGACTGACGACCCAAGACATTAAAACAGATTTAGAGCTAGAAATAGCTGCGTATCTATAGCTTCATGTATGAAACCCAAGAGTTGTTGCTATTACTCACTGCTAAATGATCACTCTGATTGCTTCAATTTTGTTGATGCTGCAGTTGCTGAATCTGCTGTGCTTTATTCAACCCTGGGTAGGGCCTCTTCTCCAGGAAGATAAAGAAGGTTTTCTTTTGCTTATGAAGTTCTGGCTTCATATGTAAAACATCACTTTGGGAGCCCCCTCTCATCTGTGAAGGCTGGCCGGTTGCTGTGGCTCTTATAAAGAGCTCAATAAATAGCTACTGAATGAATGAAAGAAAAGCTCTTTGCTATCTTTAATTTGTCAGTTCTCTTCCCGAGGCAGGAGTTAGGCAGAAACAGACAAAGGAGCATCCATCCCAGCTGGGCAACTGGCAGGAGCACCAAAATTGTTCTGATTCAAGAACATCACTGGAAATGGGATGAGGCTACAGAAATGGAATTTGTCCACTCTCTTCCCAGAAAGAGTAATGAATGTAGTTAGAATTCTTTAATAAGCTTCTGGAGCAGAGTCGTCCAGATTTTACTACATAGTAGCAATGTGACCCCAGATTTCTCATCCCCAAAATGGGGGTTTGGTACTTATCATAAGGGGTTTCCCCCCTCAATTAAGTGTGACAATGGAAAAATTCTAGCTTTTATCCTTACTTACTCTTCAGTCTACTATAATCCAGTTTCTGCCCTCCCACACCCCACTGATTGCTTTCACTGAGATTACCAATCACCCCTTTGTTGAAAATTCCACTTCTCCATCTCTTGGTGGCATTTGACACTGAATAACAGAACTTCCTCCATGAAATAATCTCTTCCCTGGTTCCTTATGACTCCAGGGCCTCCCGTAGTAAAATAATTTATGCAAAGGGTTACCAGCTAGAGTGGGCAGTGTCAGGCTGAAAATTTGCATGTCTCCTTGACCATCCTTTTAAGTCTCCATTTGAGGCATCCTTATTAGTTATTTGTTGCTGCGTAATGAATTACCCCCAAATTTAGCAGCTTGGAACAGCATCATTTCTGAGGGTTAGGAATTTGGGAGCAGTTTAACTGAGCTGTTTTGACTTCAGCCTTCTCCTGATATGCAGTCTCACTCATTATTCATTCATGAAGATTCTCTTCCAAGCTCTTCAAGCTCCCTTGCCTGGCTCTGGGCAGGAGGTCTCCATNCAGTTTAACTGAGCTGTTTTGACTTCAGCCTTCTCCTGATATGCAGTCTCACTCATTATTCATTCATGAAGATTCTCTTCCAAGCTCTTCAAGCTCCCTTGCCTGGCTCTGGGCAGGTCTCCATTCTTCACACGTGGACCTCTGCACAGGACTGCTGGTGATGGGGAGGTGCCTTCCCCAGGGTGAGTGACCCAAGTAGAATGAGCACATGTGGCTGAGATCTCAGGGGTGCCATCCCATCACTTCCACCCTCATCACACTGCCCGTCCCTGGTACAACATCAGGGAGGACCACACACCAGTATGAAGATCAGAGACAGCCCTGGGGGCCATCCTGGATGCTGGCTACTGTGGCAGCCTTCTTGGCTGACCCTAAAAAATCAGTGCTCCCTGGAGTTCTGTCTGCACACCCGTCTCCTCTCAGTCTCCACACACACCCTTGACAGCGTGGAGCTCCCCTTCAATTACATCTAAATTTTAAAGTCCTCCAAGTCTGTATCTCTAGCCAAGGTCCCTCTCAGAAACTTCAGCTTGTACACTCTGCATGTGTGCACGGGTGCTTAGTTGCTCAGTCGTGTCCGACTCTCTGCGACCCCATGGACTGTAGCCAGCCTGGCTCCTCTGTCCCTGGGATTCTCCAGGCAAGGATACTGGAGTGGGTTGCCATGCTCTCCACCAGGGGATCTTCCCGACCCAGGGATCGCACCCGCATCTCCTGTCTCCTGCATTGCAGGCTGACTCTTTACCCACTGAGCCACTGAGGAAGCCCCTCATACACTCTCTGCTGGAGCCCAGAGGCACCTCAGAGTCCACAGATCTGGACTGAACTCATCCTCAGCCCACGAGTTCCTTTCTCCGCCTGGGTTTCAATCTCAAGAATGACAACACGGTCCACTCTGTTGTCCTACAAGAAACAGAAAATTATTTGTCGCTTCCTTTTCCCCCTTCTCTCACATCCAACCACCATGTTAAGGTTCTTTGCTTTTTTCATTGTTTTTCTCATCTTTTGTTTTGAAAAGTGTCAAAATATAGGAAAGTTAAAAGACGAGTAAAATGACTCCCTATTGATTGGATTACTTCTGCGTTCACAATTGCTGGTATTTCGTGTTGCATCTGCTTTCTCTCCCTTCTCCTCTTCCCATCAGTTTATGTCTTTCCGTAATAACATTCAGATGCTATTTGCCATTCTCTCACAGATGTGCAGTGTGTGTGTGTGTGTGTGTGTGTGTGTGTAAAGTTTCCATGTAAATACAATGGATTTGAAAGTAAGTTACAGGGAAAGGATCTGAAAAAGAGTGGGTATATGTGGATGTATTCTTTGTTGCATACCTGAAACTAACACAACATTGTAAATCAACTAGACTCCAATATAAAAATTAAATTAAAAATAAATGAAATGTATTGATAGATGATAAAGAAAGAAAGTTGAAGATATTATGACACCTCATCCCTAGAGAGTTCTGCATGTTTCCTAAAATGTTTAGCTTTCCTGGGGCTCAGTGGTAAGTAATCCACCTGCAATGTGTGAGACGCAGTCTTCATCCCCGGGTCAAACCCTGAAGTGGGGAATGGCAAGCCACTCCCGTATTATTGCCTGGAAAATCCAATGGACAGAGGAGCCTGGTGGGCTACAGTCCATGGGGTTACAAGAGAGTCGGACACAAATGAGTGACTAAACAACAAAGCAGCTCTGAAGAACAAGGACACGCTTCCCCTGCGTAACCACAATGCCATTACTCCAAAGACCACTCTTCCTGCTCTGTCTCCTTCAGGCCGTACGCTTTCCTTATCATCACTTGTGCAGTCATCTCCTAACTAGTTCCTCCTCTGATCCATGTCCCATACTTCTGCCAGGGTGAGCTTTCCAAAATACACAGCTGATTATGTCACTTCCCTTCTCTGGACCTGTCAGTAGCTCTATATTACCTTCAAAATAAAGACAGACTTCACATGGCATATAAGCTTTCATCATCTAGACTCATTTAGAGCAGTATTGCCCAGCACTGGAAATGTAATAGGAGCTACATAAGTCATTATTCACAGAAAATTTACTTATTCATTTATTTTTGCCTTGCCGGGTCTTCACAGCTATGCAGAGGCTTCAGTAGTAGCAGCTCATGGGCTCCAGAGCTCGGGCTCAGCAGTCATGGTGCTGGGGCTTAGCTGCCCTGGGGCATGTGCAATCTTTCCCAACCAGGGATCGAACTTGTGTTCCCTGCATTGGCAGGTGAATTCTTCACCACTGGACCAGGAGAGAAGTCTGGTAACCTTACATTTTAAATGTAGGCACATTTTTAAAAGTTCTTAAAAAACAGGTGAAATGAATTTTAAAAATACGTTTTATATAATCCAATATATTCAAAATCTTATCATAGCAACGTAAGTGCAATACAAGAACTATTAATGAGATGTCATACTTTTTTCCATAAGTCTTCAAAATCTGACCTTTATTTCGTATGTACAGCATACCTCAATTCAGATGCTCCCTTTCCAAGGGTAAACTAAAAATGAATTCCTACCAAAATAATAAGATTATATTTAACAAAAAAAAAATTTATATTATTCCAGCTGGCTTAATTAAAATTAAATAAAATGGGAAGCTCTGTTCTTCCTTCACACTGGCCACATCTCAAGGGTTTTGTAGCCACAGGGCCTAGTGGATCCTGAAAAAGGGAATTCCTGAGCAGCAGTTCTCAGTGTGATCCAGGGTCTCCCTAGGGGGTCCTCAAGGCCTTTCCAAGGAGGTCACTAAGGTCAAAATTATTTCCATATAATTAGACATTATTTGCCTTCTTTCACTTTTTTTTTCTTCCACCAGTGTAGTACAGTGGAGTGTTCCAGAGGCCACGTAACATGTAATGTGACCACAGATTGAACACAGAAGCATTTAAGAGAATCAGCAGTTTGTATTAAGCAGATAGTGAAGAAATTTACCAAATTGTGAAACAAGGCGTCTCTCTCCTCTCCTTACTTATTTTTGTTTTGGAAAGTATAATTATATTCCATTAAAATGTGTATATTTATATACTCAATGAGAAGATTATTTTTAAATGAATTAATGAAAAGATTGAAATGTTCTCAGTTTTACTTTCTGATACAGTGATTATCGATAGCGAGAACTCTCACTTCTCTGTGGTGTAAGAGGGCTTTGAGAAGAGCTGGCCTCCAGCAGCCTGACTCTCCAGCTTCATGGCCAGTGATTTCCTCTCCTCCCTCATACTTTTCACATGAACATCCAGCTCCAGACAAGATGAAGCAGATCCACTTTCTCCCTTTTCCTCTGGTTAAGTGCTTCCTAAAATCCTGAACATCACAGATGCAACCAACATCTGAAAGGTAAAGCAAAGGCTCGGGGCCTCAGGACTCAAGGAGTGACATGTCACCAGGGTGGCATCAGCAGAGACCCAGACGGGCTGCTGAGCTTCTGCTCTGGTCCAGCAATAATGAGACGCCCGCCACTCCGCAAGTGTGTCGACGGCTGAATGGAGACCCTGGACTTTTACCCCCACCTGGCGGTAACCAGGAGGTCACCCCGCCCCGCCCGCCTCAGCAGAGCGGTAGGAAAGGGGCCCTGCTGAAACAGATCAGTCTCACAACACAATACCTGAAGTGTCCAAGGTGCGATTTCAAATCACGCATGATGCCAAGAACTGGGAAAATCTCAACTTGAATGAGAAAAGATAATTAGCAGATGCCAACATGGAGATGACAGAGATGTTGGAATTATCTGACAAGGATTTAAAAACAACCATCATAAACATGCTTCACTGAGCAATGATAGCAATGCTCAATAACTTAAAATAAAGGATGACTTAAAGGAACAAATAGAAAGTCTCAGCACAGAAATAAAAGATAGAAAGAAGGATCATATCCTTTACTTGGGCCTTAAAAGTACCACTCGTGCTTCTGGGATGACCACCCTTTCTTTGTGCCTGGGCCAAGGTGTCTGCCTCTTCTTAGAACACCCATCTCTCGTTTTTAAATCCTGCTTGTCCCTGGGGTCAGCTGAGATGTCACCTCCTCTGCGAAGCATTCCTTGACTTCCTTGCCCCTTCCCCCTGAAAGCTCCCTACACCATAGCACTCACACTCAACTCCAATTATTCTGTCATCTCTCCCTCTGCACCTGCCCGGTGTAAAAACTTTCCAGAGGGCCTGTGTCTTATCGCAGGTGTCTGGCACAATACCTGGCTTAAAATAAGCACTCAGAATAAATGAATAAATGAATAAATCTGTGAATAAATGGAAAGTCTGCAGTGACTCTCTCTTTGATTGATTAAATCTAATTAATGCCTGTGGTCAGGCATTAAATGCCCTACACAAACTGTGATACACGTCTTTTTGGTATTTGGCTTCCCTTCATACCTCCTACTCCTCTGCCACACTGGAAAACACAGTGTTGTGTTTTCCTGGAACTTCAAAGCACTTTTTATTTGTCACATACAATTATTAATTTCTTTCTTTTAAAAAAAGTTTCTTTTTATTGGAGTAAAGTTGATTTACAATGTTGTTTCAGATGTACAGCCAGATGAATCATTTATACATATATCCGCTCTGTTTTAAAAGATTCTTCTCCCACATAGGTCATTACAGAATTTGAGTACTGTTCCCTATTGAATAGGTCCCTAATGGGGACCTACTGGGCTTCCCCGGTGGTTCAGATGGTAAAGAATCTGCCTGCAATATGGGAGACTCGGATTCGATCCTTGGTTCGGGAAGACCCCCTGGAGAAGGGAATGGTTACCCACTCAAGTATTCTTGCCTGGAAAAATCCATGGACAGAGGAGCCTGTTGGGCTATCATCCATGGAGTTGCAGAGGGTCGTACACAACTGAGCAACTAGCACTTTGACTTCATTATACAAGGACTTACCAGTCTTAACCAAGTAATGTGTATATGTCAGTCCCAGTCTCCCAATTTATCCCTCCCCCCTTCCCCTCTGGTAACCACAGGATTGAAAACACAGTCTTTTGTCTTGTTTTTTCTTTTTTGGCAGCGCCATGGGGCTGGTAAGTTGCTAGCTCCCTAACCAGGGGTAGACTCCGCAGACCCTGCCGTGGTCAAGCAGAGTCTTAACCCCTGGACCGCCAGGGAAGGCCCAGAAGACAGTGTTCTGAAAGGACCGTTTACCTCCCTTATCCCCACCTCCGTATACACATATGTATGCGTTTCTCTCAGCCTCAAATATTCTCACCCATTTTTACAGCCCCGCTCAGACATCGCCTCGCCGTGACCAGCCAGCCCCTGCTCTCCCCTGCTGGAAAGGGTCCCGCCCGCCTCTGGGTACACGGCACTTCACTTAATCTTTTCTCGTGTTAAGTCTCCCTCTCTGCCATACGTTTGTTTATTTTGGCTGTGCTGGGTCTTCATTGCTACACGCGGACCTTGTCTAGTGGCAGCGGGCAGCAGCGAGCGGCGGGCAGCGGGCGGCGGACAGCAGCGGTGGGCGGCGGGCGGCGGGCAGGGCCCGCCCCTTGCTCTGCTGCCAGGGCTTTCGTCCCGGCGGCTTCCCTTGCTGCGGGGCCCAGGGCTTCAGTCCTTGCGGCCTGTGGGCTCAGCAGCTGGGGCTCATGGACTCTAGAACCCCGGCTTAGTAGTTTCGGCGTGTGGGCTTAGTTGCCCCGTGGCACGAGGAATCTTCCTGGGTCAGGGATTGAAACCGTGTCCCCCGGCATTGGCAGGCAGATTCTTAATCACCCGACCACCAGGGAAGTTCTGTCTTTGTTTTTATTTGTTTGTTTGAATGCACTTGTATTTGCCCCAAGATTTAAAACTCTGTGGGTTTGGGACTCCCTGTCAGTCCAGCTGTTAAGACTCCATGCTTCCACTGCAGGCTGGGGTGTGCGGGTTTGATCCCGGGTGGGGGCCTAGGATCCCGCCAGTAGGCGGCACCGCGTGGCCAAAAAAGGTCCGTGAGTTCGAACTCACATCTTGTTCATCTTTGCCTCTGCCGCCGAGTCCCTAGCATAGTCCTTGTTACTCTCACGGAGTTTCCACTTCTTTTTCTGAGATCATGGTACCTACGGCATAGGGGTTCTGTGGCTACTAAACCAAAAACACACTATTTAAATTTTGATACAGTCAGTATTCAATAAATGATTGATTATTGTTATTATCATTTGAAGGAATAAATGATGGAGCAAGTCCTACCTACTCTGCCTTCAAAACGTCCTTTTGAATTCCACTTCGTCTCCCCCTTATGCCACTATTATCGCCCTGCTCCCAGCTGTGACCATTCTTGATCCCATCACTGCAGTCCAGTGGGCCCAGCCTTTCTGGATTTGTGGAAGACAATTTTTCCACGGGCTGAGGAAGAGGAATGGCTTGGGGGTGCACGTTACCTTTATTGTGCAGTTTATTTCTATATATAATTATTCTGCATTATTATAAAGCATTTTCAAGGGAAAAACCAGGGGGCCACCCTGTCACCAGCACATATATCCAGACTTAGGGGATAGTCCTCTTTATCCATGAAATGAAAATCTAGCAGAAGATACGTCTAGGTCCATTTTCCACAGTGAGCTATGTAACAGTCCAGGGTGAATTCTCCAGGGCTGACTGCAGGCAGAGCAGAGGGAACCAAGGCCTGAGGACTTGCTTGGCTGCTCAGACGTGGGAAAGCGCCCCCTGAGGAAATGCCCAGACATGAAGCCCCAGACCTATCCTGACCCTGCCCTCACCAGCTTCAGGACATACAAGTGCAGGAACCCTGAGGTCCCAGCGGAAGAGTGGGGAAAGCTTTGGATCCAGGACTTCTGAATTCCAGGTGATTCGGGCAAGCTACCTCCCCTCTCAGGGCCTGAGTTTGTAACTTTGCCATAGGTTGTTGACTTGAAAATATCTTTAAAATGCCTTCCAGTTGTCACTGTCTATAATCAAAGGGGCTTCAGGTGTGGAATCGTCTGGAATAGGCTGTTTCTGAGCGATAGGACTGTTCATTGGAAGGACTGATGTTGAAGCTGAAACTCCAGTACTTTGGCCACCTGATGCGAAGAGCTGACTCGTTGGAAAAGACCCTGATGCTGGGCAAGATTGAGGGCAGGAGGAGAAGGGGACGACAGAGGATGAGATGGTTGGATGGCATCAGCGACTCAATGGACATGGGTTTGGGTGGACTCCGGGAGTAGGTGATGGACAGGGAGGCCTGGTGTGNTGAAACTCCAGTACTTCGGCCACCTGATGTGAAGAGCTGACTCATTTGAAAAGACCCTGATGCTGGGAAAGATTGAGGGCAGGAGGAGAAGGGGACGATGGAGGATGAGATGGTTGGATGGCATCATGGACTGGATGGACATGAGTTTGAGTAAACTCCGGGAGTTGGTGATGGACAGGAAGGCCTGGCGTGCTGCGGTTCATGGGGTCGCAAAGAGTCAGACATGACTGAGCGACTGAACTGAACTGAGCCTGAGGCTGTAGGGGTTTCAAAGACCCAGCTGTCTTTTCTCCTCCTGGTTTCCCGTGAGTCTGTACCCTGTCCACCGGTCTTACCTGGCCTCACTCTCCTCCAGTCACTCCCAAGGCAGCCTGTGTCACCAAACAGAGGCCAGCCTGACGTTTTTGATTAACCGTCTTCCCTTTCTCCAACCCCCAGCCGTCACCTTCTAGGGAAACCCCAACACTTCCTCCGTTTGCCTCCCCGAGTCCTGGGGAGGAATGTCTGGTTAGAGCAGTGGGAGAAAGGCAAGGGGGAAGTGGTGGGGGGTGTGCTGCTGAGGGGAAAGGTCTGGCCTGGGCCAGATAAGCCTGGAAGGATCCTTTGTTTGGCCCCAACCGCAGCTGCCATTGTTGACACAACTGGGAGCCTTTCCCAAAGGTCCTGATTGTCCGACAGCTCCCCTTCCCCCACTTCCTATGGGCTTGGGTGGAGCTGGGGGTGTCTGGGCTCTGTGGGTGGTGGGGGCTTACAGATAGTTTTGCAGTTAGGCTGTTGTCTTAATGCAGAGGTGGAAACCACCCCCTCCAGGGGCTGGCAGCCAGATCTCTCAGAGAAACGTTCCCACACTGTCCCTCACTGTTGTACCCACACCTGGGGGCAGGGATGGTGTGACAGCTGAGGGTTCACAGGCCCTGGTTCCTCCCCGTGGCCTGGCATCTTTTGCATATGTGGGTCTTCTCAGAAGGTGTTCACGAAGGGCGTGGCTCCTAAGTCGTCAGCATTCTCTCTGTTTTTCTTTCTGCAACTAGGAGCATCAACTTCCCTGAGAGCATTCCTGTCTCCCTGCCAGAGAGGGGAGCAGTCAGTAGGCCCGGACGAAAGGCAGCATCCTGGTTGGTACCCTGAGATGGCCAGCCCCCCGCCCCCCCCGTCCCCACATGGTCCCCTTAGGTCTCATGGGGAGACCTCTGCTCTGGTCTTCAGACACACCCAGCTGGCACAGAACAGATGTGTTTCAGTATCACTTTAATTACATTATTTACATAGGCAAAACAAAACAAAACAAAAAATCCACCCCATCTTCCTATCTCTGGAAAGTTCTATTTCCAACCGTCACTGAAATCAGGATCCCTTTTCACCCTTCTGGAAAAAGAAAAAACAACAAACGAGGACCTGGGTCACCTGCAGAAAAGGTGGCTTGTGGTGAGGGTCCCCTGGAGATGTCCTGGGGCCCTGACTGCATGGGGTGCAGAGCGGTGAAAGGGTCAGGGTTGGGGAGACAGAGACAGAAAGGAGTCTGCTGGGAGACTGAGGCCACAGCTCAACCCAGGAGTCAGGGAGAGATGGGAGGAGGCCGTCAAGACAGAGGTGAAAGTCAGAACCTAGCCTCAGAGCAAAAGGCTTCCTTTGAAGCGCATGGATCAAGAGGCCTGGCTCAGAGATCTGGTCCCGTGGTCCTGTCCACTCTGATCCGCTGGCAGAAACAGCAGCCCAAGCAGAGGCTCCGTGTGGCCCTGCAGGGACCGGGACCAAGCTGTGTGCCCTCACCCCTCTGCCCTTTGAGTGGGAACACGTGTCCACGTGTATCCCTACCAGGTCCTCCAAACACACAGACTCTGGAGGTTGTTCTAAAACTTGGAGTCTGGTTCCAGGCTCAGCCAGAAAAGCTGCACAGGCCTCGGTCCACAGAGGTGGGGGTGGTGGTGGGGGGTGGTTTACCTTGGAGCTCGGGGAACTTAAGAGAGCAAGAGGGGAGCTGATGAGCAAATGTTCAGTGCCTCAGAGGGGGATAACGGAGATGGGTTAAGACGGCATGATTTTCTGTACAAAGGGGCAACTGTGAGGGGTTGCTTTGGTGTTCCTAAAGTAGAGAAAGAAAAAATACAAGGAAGAAACAGGAAAAGGTAACACCTCCTGGGATGAAATCACAGCCCAGAAAAGCCCCTGCTTTCCCCTGGGAGTTCCTGTAATGAGGCAGAGAGGAAGGGGAGGAAAGGGGCTCCCGCATGGAAGCTGCAAGACTGACCATCCCACCCCCCACCCCCCGGAGGAGCTTCTCAGCATCTTGGCTGTGCGCATCACACCTTCCCTCAGTGCAGCCTGGAGGTGGGTGCAGGGAGCTGACTGTGTCGAGGGCAGGAAGACCCCTCGGCCTGGTACAGGGCAGGGCTCCGAGGACGGCCTCCGTGGGTGTGTGCAGTGGGAAAGGGTGGGCGGTGAGGGGGCGCCGCTCCAGCGCGGAGGCCGAGAGCGCTCAGACCAAGGGAGGGGCTCCTCCCCCTGATCCCACCCGGCCTCGCCCCTCCCCAGCCACGTCACAGTTCGGTATCAGCCACCACACGTTGTCTCGCTGAATGGCCGTTTCTGGAGGTGGCCTGGCCGGTGCCATTCTCCTGAGCCCCTCGATTCACAATGGCCTTTCCCTGAGCCTCGGGGGAGGCCTCAGGGCCTGAGCTATAGCCCTGGCCTCCACTGTTCTCCACGTAATAAGGGTCTTCGCCCTGGATGGTGTATAAATAAAGGAGCATTATCTCGTAGGCATGGGAGCAAGAGGAGGGGTGGGGGAACAGGAGAGGCAGAGGCAGGGGAGAGGGGGTGCGGGGGAGAGGAGAGGCAGAGGCAGGGGAGAGGGGGTGCGGGGGAGAGGAGAGGCAGAGGCAGGGGAGAGGGGTGCAGCTGCAAGGGCAGGCTCCTTTCTTCCTGAAGAGCGCTCAGGGTTCCAGCTCCTAGAGGAGAAAGGACAGAGGAGAGGCACCTCACCGTGCCAAGGCAGCTTGAGAGCCAACTCGCGCCAGAAACTGGCCCGTTCCCAGGGTGGAATAACCTCCCCAGAGGAGGCGAAGGGGCCAGAGACCAACAGGCAAGCCCTGGCCTTGTCCACCCTCCGCTAGACCACTTCAAGAGTCGAGTTTCCTTCCACGCGTCCCCTTCTTGTGAGACGCTGGGTACCCGTGGGCCTTTAATATGCTTGCAAAGAAGTGGCTGCTTTAGCTGCCTGTTCTGGTTTGTACCCAGCTAAACTATCCCAGGGAAAACAATAAATAGAGGACACAAACCATCTGTTGCCATGGGGTGGGGAGCAGGGCCCCAGTTCATGCCCCCCTCCCCAGTCTATTATATATTGCTTTGACGCATCCACACATACAGTGATGTGCGTGCACACACATTCCCGTGTGAGAGCACAGAAGTACGTCTTCTGCTATTTCTCCTCCCCTTCTGTGACATTCATGGACCTCCCCAGGAGACCTAGCTTCCTCATTTTCTTTGCCCTGGAGCCCAGAACTGACCAGCCTTTCTCCTGTTGGGCTCCAGCTGCGGCGGTTCATCAGGAAATAGCATGTGGCGATCAAGATGGCTAGCAGGATCCCCGAGATGAGCAGTGCAATCAAGGTCTTCCGGGAATAGCTCTGGTGGCTGCTGACATCTTCTTCAGAGACTTCCTGGATGCCCATCTTGAAGAGAAGACGTAGAAAAAAGAGAGCCTTCCATTTGTGGAACGTGGGTTCTAGAAGAGGAGCCCAGCCCATGCTAGACCCCTCTGTGTGACTCAACACTGAATAGACCCAAGGAGACATAGACCTCAGGGATTTTCTAAACAGGACTTAAGACTGGTATTTTTTCATTAAGTCAAACTATAAAATTTTGTTCCAAAGATAGAAGGGCGAAGACTGTTGGAGAAGGGTGGAGAGGTAGGAAGGGTAGGTCTGGGGAATATGATTACTTTCTCCTCTGAGACCCCTCATCTCCGAGAACTTACCTCTCTCAGGTCAGACTGGTGCCTTTTCAGAAGTTTGATCTTGCTAGAACATTCTGGAATGAGAAATGGAGTATGCTTAATCTAGAAGCTGGAACAGCTCATCCTGCACTGTTCTAGAAGATGTTCTGATGGTGAGGGTAGATCTGAGGAAGGTCTTTCCCAAACTCAGCACGGCCCTGCTCCCCCACACCTGTGCCCTTGAGCTACGATGCCTGGTTTCTATCCAGCATCCTCTAACCTCAGCCCGTCCCCCTCTAGGCCTCAGCACAGACTTGTCCCTTACCTGTACTGTTGGCCAGGACCAGCAGCAGGCACTGAGGCTTCACCTCAGATTGGGCCAGGAGCAAGGAGCACACCTCAGCCTGTTCCTCCTGACATAGGACTCGGGTCAGCTTCTCTTCATTGTTCTTCTTAAACTCCTCCTGGGACAACAGAGAAAAGTGGTGAGCAGGAGATAAGCTTGCTGGTATCCTTTACACTGTATCTGGGGGCTCAGGCAATAATTCGGATTAAAGTCACACTGTTACCCTCAAAACAAAAATAATCCTTTTTTTTTCCCCTAAAATTCCAAGTGAAAAAAAAAAATCTTGCAAACTTCATATGTGCAAAAACATGATAAAAAAAAAAAACAAAACAAACTCCAAAATTGTCCAAGACTAAAAGGTGGTCTTAGCCGGTGCTCTACAATGTCAGAGAACAAATTTAGGAACTATTACCTTATTGAAAGATTGCCCATGTAAACATACACTATCCAAATTAAGTTCAAAAGAAATCACCAATAACACAAAATATTAACAGTGCAATACAAATGAAGATAAAACCCTCTGTTTCAAGGTTATAAGAGGCCCAAATATTGACAGAAAACCCAAGGGAGGTGAGGAGTAGAGAACAAATTTATGACTATAGATGCAACAAATGTATGACTGTAGATCCTCGTCCCTTCCCTCTTAGTCTCCAAGGGGTCTCACAGACAGCAGGGCTCAAATTCAAGTGGGGCTCTTGTCTAGTCTTCCATTCCCTGTTTTGCTGGTATCCTTTACACTGTATCTGGGGGCTCAGGCAATAATTCGGATTAAAGTCACACTGTTACCCTCAAAACAAAAATAATCCTTTTTTTTTCCCCTAAAATTCCAAGTGAAAAAAAAAAATCTTGCAAACTTCATATGTGCAAAAACATGATAAAAAAAAAAAACAAAACAAACTCCAAAATTGTCCAAGACTAAAAGGTGGTCTTAGCCGGTGCTCTACAATGTCAGAGAACAAATTTAGGAACTATTACCTTATTGAAAGATTGCCCATGTAAACATACACTATCCAAATTAAGTTCAAAAGAAATCACCAATAACACAAAATATTAACAGTGCAATACAAATGACGATAAAACCCTCTGTTTCAAGGTTATAAGAGGCCCAAATATTGACAGAAAACCCAAGGGAGGTGAGGAGTAGAGAACAAATTTATGACTATTGATGCAACAAATGTATGAGTGTAGATCCTCGTCCCTTCCCTCTTAGTCTCCAAGGGGTCTCACAGACAGCAGGGCTCAAATTCAAGTGGGGCTCTTGTCTAGTCTTCCATTCCCTGTTCCCACTAGAGACACGGAGCCCAGTTTTACATGAGGTGGACAGGTCGCTCCAGGTTGCTGACTGACTGGTCCATGGGAGTCAGGCACTCAGACTCAGGAGACAGACTCTGACAATTCTTCTGACAAGTCCCAGGAAAGGGATGAATTAGAAGCCCTGGCTGTTCCCCCTCCTCGGTCTTCTAGGATTTATTCCAGCAGCCTCTGAAGGGAGTGGCCTGCTCTACCCAGAAAAGGAATCAAAACCAAGACTCTCTCCTTTGTCCGGATGGCAGATGGCGGGGGAGGAAATGCCTGAGCAGCTCTGACAGCTTTCCTGTGAGGGGAAAACTGCTGGGGCGTGTGAGGGGCATCAGAACTGAGCCTCCGTGGAGGAGAAAGCTTCCTGTTTGCGGAGCGGCGCTGCTCCGGGGGCAAGGCCACAGGGCCCTCCCAGCTTGGCAAGCAGCCTGGGTATTTTCCTGTTGCTGTGGCCCAAGGCAGTAAAACCCAGGCTCCTCTGCTCCCGCACAAGGCAAGGTCAAGATTGGCCTCAAGTCCCAGCTTTTTTCTGCCAGCTGGAATTCGAGGCTTTGGGGAGGCCAGACAGCAGGGTGAGCTAACCTCCGGATCACAGAAGAGAGGAGTCCAGTGGGAACCTCAGAAGGTCCCCAAGAGCCAAGGTTACGGAGAGATGAGTCCTCAGGCCACGGCTCCTTCTGATGAGGCAGGTCTCCAGGGAAGTCCCAGGATAGGAGCTGCTCACAACAGCATTCGTCGTGGGGAGTCTGGGCACCGCACTGCATGTGATCAGCAGTCTCCTTGCCCTGGGCCCGCGTCCCCTTGGACTTGTCTTGCTGCCCCATGAGCACCTTCTGGACAAGGAGGAGGGAATTCCTTGCCTGGATGACTGGGCTTCTCAGCTGTCTCGGGCTGACATGTGTCTCGTTCCCAAGAGAGGCAGGGGAATGGGGATCCTGCAGAATCTTAAACAAGCCTAACAAGGAGGCACCTCCTCAGTGTGCTGAGCCCTAAGAAGCTCCGCCTCGATCAGACTCAGCTGTTCCGATGGTGATCAGGACTGCGTGAATCCCTCTGTGCGTGCGTCGTGTGTGTGGTCTGTGTGTGGAGCAGGGCTAGCAATGAATTCCACACGGTCAGAGCTGTTGGTGTGTATGCACGGCCATGAAGATAGACACCGCTTCCTATGTCTCAGACACTGGTTCTAAGTGCGTTCTGTATGTTGACTCTATGAGACTGTTCTCCCCATATTGTAGATGAAGAAACTGAGGCACAAAGAGACTTCAGAGTTGACAGAGCTAGTCACGTGGTAAGCAAGCACGCACCTGCTTCAGGGTTATCAGAAACATCTCAAAATAGGCCTCACAGAATGGATAGAATGTATGCAGGAGAAGCTGGGGAAGGGCCTTGGGAGTGTGGGTGCCACCCGGAGGAAGCCCAGGCGCGTATGAGCCGGCGGCCTTTGCAATACGGGTTGCCCGGGGAATGAAGCACATGGCCTTGCCCCTTGGAATTTCATCCTTCAAGACTGGATTCCACCTCACCTCCCCAGAGAAGCCAGTCCCTGTCTTCCAGCAGACTGGGAATCCGTCCTTGCTCTGCTGTTTACTAGGTTCTTTGCAAGTTGTACAGCTCAGCTGAGAGTGAGGCTGCTCGGCTGAAGACTCAGCCGGGGTGCTGACCGGAGAGCTGCTCTGTGAAGAGCGTCCGACAAGGTGCTTGGAGCCAAGTGGGCACGGGTTAAGTGGCAGCTGTCCTGGAGCAGCACCTCCAGACCACATCGTCTAGAATCCACACGGCGATGTTGAATCACACTCTGCCTTACTGCCTTATCACTTCTCTGTGACTAGACTGCTAGGCTTCTTAGTAGTGGGAGGGAGGTGGGTGCACATGAAACAATTTTGAGCCCAGACTGCACAGAGCACAGAGCCAGAGAGACAAGAGCTCAGTGAGCTGTTCTTCGTCTTAAGGTCCCAAGTGGTTTGACTTCCACCCAGGGGCCCTCCGCCCCTTGTTTAGTTTCTTGGACTCGATTCAGGGGAATAACAGTGTCCAGCCAGCCTCCCTCCTACTCTGGAATCCAACAGCATCAGTGAATTGTGTTTGGGCCTGGAAAGAAGCAGGTGGATCCTGAACAAAGCACAATGCACCTCCGGATGCTTGAAATAAACATCCTCCCCCAAGAGAGGCTGCAGGCAGGCATCATGGGAGAGTGGGCAGGAGGAAGCCACAGCCTCACCATCTTGCTCGTGGGAATCAGACTGGTGGACCCCTAACTGCATTGGCTAGCACATGATATTTTATAAAAACAACTATCATCATCATCATAAAACCACCTAAGTTTTCTAAAGTAACATTCTCAAACTTTGCAAAGACTCTCACATGTTAAAGAAGCACATTAAATATTGGAGTAGGGGGAGAAAGGGACAGGTATTTTTCTAAACTTTAAGATATTACCCAATGTTAAGACTCTAAGATCAGTCATCTCTCTCTCTCCCTTCCTCCCCCTCTCTCAGTATTTTATCGACTTTGGTGTGAGCTTCACAATGCAGCTAAAACACCTCTTTTCATATAGAGACTGGAATAATTAAAGCACCCGTTACAAGTCACACAAGTGGGCAGCTGACCAAAAGTTAGGGTGTCCCAGATCTCAGGTTCTTTCCAGAAGACACGCTGTCTTCATCAGTCCCCCATCTGCAAGTTATTTTTTCTGCATGGAAACTGACCTTTAGTGTTTGAGCAGAAGGCAAGGAAGACACGGGCTGGGGGATATTATCTGGAGGCAGCCTGCCTCCAATGAAGTAAATGTGACAGAGCAACGGGGGTGTGAGCTAGCTGAGTAAATATCATCTCTGCCTGTAAACATATGTGGTTCTAAAGAAAGGCAGCTCTGAAAGACAAATTGGAGGGCGAAGGACTTGAACAGAAGTTTCTCCAGAGAAGATACACAAATGGTTAGTAAGCACATGAAAGGATGCTCAGCATTATTAATCATTAGGAAATGGCAATCAAATGCACCTCACATCCAATCAGATGGCTACTATCAAAAAATTGAACATGAGTGTTGGTGGGGATGAGGAGAAACTGGAACTTCTGTGTCCCATTGGTGAGAACATAAAATGGTGCAGCTGTTACGGAAAAGAGTATGGTGATTCCTTAAAATATTAAAAATAGAATTACCATATGATCCAGCAACTCAATTTCTGGAGATATAGCAAAAGAAATGAAATAAGAGTGTTGAGATATCTGAGCAAACATATTCATAACAGTATTATTAACAATAAGCCAAAAGGGGGAAGCAACCCAACTGTTCATAGGTGAATGAATGAATAAAATTGGATATGAACACACAATAGCATATTATTCAGCCTTAAAAAAGAAAATTCTGAGACATGCTACATCATAGATGACCCTTGAGGACATTAGACTAAGTGATTATATATCAGTCACAAAAAGATAAATACTATATGATTTTACTCATATGAGGTACCTAGAATAATCAAATTCATAGAGAGAGAAAAAATAGTGGTTATCAGGGAGAAGGAGAGGGGGAAGGGAAGTTGTTTAATGGGTGGAGAGTTTCAGTTCTGGAAGATGAAAAGACTTCTAAACATTAATCATACAACAAGGCGAATGTACTCAACAGTACTGAACTGTACACTTAAAATGGTAAATTTCATGTTGTGTATATTTTACCACCATTAAAATGATTCCTTGGTAGATTCCCCTGGATCAATAGATATGAAATAAGAATAAGGGCTTCCCTGGTAGCTCAGCTGATAAAGAAGACGGTGAAGAGTCTATCTGCAATGTGGGAGACCTAGGTTCGATCCCTGGGTGGTGAAGATCCCATGAAGAAGGGAATGGCAACCCACTCCAGTATTCTTGCCTGGGAAATTCCATGGACAGAGGAGCCTGGCAGGCTCCAGTCCATGGGGTCACAAAGAGTCAGACATGACTGAGCAACTCACACACACACACACACACACACACACACACACACACACTTGAGAATAAAGTAAGCTTACATTCTGGAAACTGTGGGAAACCACAACCACCAAAGAGTAAATTAACCTGATGCCGCAGCAGAGAGGATGAGCGTCAGACGTGGGTGATACGTTCTGCTAATGGGGCTTCTGAGACGCAGTAACAGCTGCTTGACAAGAGGATGGGATTACCGCCCTCTGGCTGCCATAGGTGACCTCTATCTAGAGGTGAGGCACCGCAGCAAAAGGAGAGTAGCTGGGATAGAAATGTCTAGAGAACGCGTGTACAGAAGGCAGGCCCAGTAATCCCATAGCAAGAGCTAACGGGCTGGATCCTTAAGATGAGCAGTCTGGAGAGCTGGCAACAGTGCCTGTTTCTGTTATGGGAACATGTTAGATGGAAGAGCACGACAGCAGTAAGCAAGTACTCGAGGGTGTGATGTTAGGGGGACCCATGTCCTTCATGCTTCTCATTAGGCCTGAGTTTCCCCTTGATGAGAACCAGGGCCATAAGGCCCTCTGACTCCCAAGGTACAAAAGCAACCTAAGGAAAATCAGGAGGCACCACACCACTTTGGGGGAGAGGCTGATTATCAGAGAAGCATGCAGTAGGACTCACGGAAAAGGAATCGGAAACAGGAGCTGTGGCCCCAAATTCTGGAAGAATGATTTCTGACTGAGGAAAACAGGAGGCAATGCTACTTGAGGGCTGGGGAAGAGGAAACCCCAGGAAGACAGAGGGATCAACAGTGGTGGAAGGAAAAGAAAAAAGAAAAAAAAAAAACAGCACTGCATAGGTGCTGCTATCGAGTTGACTGATCACGGGCCGCGCAGAAGCCTTCTTTAGGATATTGGAGGAATTACTATCTTTCCACATCCTTACTCGCAAATTCTTCCCAAATTACAGTAGAGTGCAGATCTTTTCAGCTGTGGCACAAAGTAGGTTAGACAGTAAAGGCCTCAGACAGAGAGAGAGAGACTGCAGCACAGTAAAAGCAGTTATTTCTGGAGTAGCAGTAAGTTTCTGGCACTTATCTTGTAGGATGACCCTCGTTAAATGTGAACTTTGAAGAGCAGTGGACAGACATTTAGAATAAATCGTGTGCGATTAGCTCTAAATCGTCTGTACGAAGAATTAGTATTCTGGCACAGACCACTGCGATGCACAGGAAAATAAGTGCTCAGCCAAGATAATACAGAGAGAGAGATGATGATCATTTTTCTTGCCTATAATTAGCAAACTGTTGGGCAAAAAAAAAAAAAAATGTTTTTTAAATGAGTTGAAAATCAGCATCAGAAACACAGAATCTTAACGTGTACACACTGCACATTCACGCTTAACTACTTTACAAGTTGCACTTAGCTATTCCCATTGCCTGAACCTCTGTCTTTCAAATTTCTGTTGTTTTTTAAAATTTTAAGTTAAATAGTTTTCTTAGGTATTATTTTAGAAGACCTGTGAGTCAGAATGACCCAGCTGATAATCACAAGATACCAATAGTCAAATTGGACAAAAATAAGTAAAGTACCACTCTCTACAGACTACAGTATTTACCCAGACTCTTTCTAATACATGCATGTTACATGTCATATATATGGTTCCCTTAAATGGGTTCCCAACTTGTAAGAAAACGCTTTTTTCTGTAAGTAAATATCACTCTTCCTATCATCCCATCTTTCATCCAGGAAATTGTTGCTGTCAGGAAGCTGGATTTACTGAAACAAAGCAAGGAGACCTGCTATCGTCATGAAAAATTAATACAATACTGTACAGTTTGCCATGCAATAAGGCCTGAATCTGAAAGAAGAGGCGTAACTACTAAACAGAAAGAGAAAACCAACATATTATGAGAAATGGAGTGATGGTTTACCTTAAAAATGAAAAATAACCATTTAAAAAAACTCCTGGTATTAATAAGCATGTTAAAGAAAATGGCTAGACCCAAGATAAATATAAAAAACTCAAAGAAGTTTCTAATATACAAGAAAGAATCAACTGGAATATATTGTGGAAAATCTATATAATAAACAAATCTTAAGCAATCCATAAAACTTATAGGAAAAAACATTTTAAAAATTAAAAAAATAAAAAGACACAGAACAATACCAGAGGAAAATCAGAAAAAAAACAAAACAAAACAAAACGGTGAGATTTCAGAGCGGTTCCAAACAAAATTTTAATGGTCTTGTGGGGTTTTTTGACTTGTTGTTTCTAAAATTTTTCTAAAAAATAGATGAAAGACCTTATACACAGGTCTTTGTATAGCAAAGACCTACTTGGCTAGATATTGAAAGTGTTGATGTATAAAAGTATAAGGGTTTCCCTGGTAGCTCAGCTAGTAAAGAATCCACCTCCAGTGCAGGAGACCCTGGGCCAACTCCTGTGTCGGGAAGATCCCCTGGAGAAGGGATAGGCTACCCACTCCAGTATTCTCAGGCTTCCCTGCTGGTTCAGGCAGTAAAGAATCCTGCAGTGTGGGAGACCTGGGTTCGATCCGTGGGTGGGAAGATCCCCTGAAGAAGGGCATGCAACCCACTCCAGTATTCTTGCCTGGAGAATCCCCATGAACAGAAGAGCCTGGCTGGCTACAGTCCATGGGGTCGCAAAGAGTCGGACACGACTGAACGAGTAAGCACAGCACAGGGCACATAAAAACTTGATACAAACTAAAGGGAGAACTCCAGTCAATAAAGGAGAGAATCGCTGAGTAAATATTAAATGTTAGGGGAACTGGTTATATGGAGAATGAAGCATTGACAGCAAAAAATTCTTTCTGTACTAAAGAGTTATATGAAAATAATAATAAATAAATTGATTTTTTAGGTGACTAGTTTATATTTCCTGAAGGACTTTCTTAACATAAAAGCAAACCTAAGTCGGACTGTATGTTACAATATGCATGTGTGCATGCTCAGTCATATCCAACTATTTGCAGCCCTGTGGACTGTAGCCCGCCAGGCTCCTCTGTCTGTGGGATTTTCCAGACCAGAATACTGGAGTGGGTTGCCATTTCCTCCTCCAGGGGAATCTTCCCGACTCTGGGATGGAACCCATGTCACCTGCATTGGCAGGCAGATTCTTAACCACTGAGTCACCTGAGAAGCCTATATAGTACAATAGAGGAACGGGAAAAGTAAATTTAAATAAAATCATCTTTGCCTTCTTTGTCCACCAGATGGGGCCTCTTGCTCCCTTAAATCCAAAGCTCAATATTCAAAGCAGCCTGTCCTTGTTAAACTGCCCCGCCTCCACCCTACTCGGTCCTTCCAAGACTCACCTTAAGGAGGATCAGAAGTAATTTTGGGAGGAGGAGGAGGGGGATAGAATGGGCAGGGGGGTTTGACTTACACAGCTGGAGGTCTCATTTAGCTTCAGGCAGATGCTGTGGGTCAATTTCACTTCTTTGACTCTGGAACATTTTATTTCATTCTGTATTAAAAAAAAAAAAAAGTAAACAAGTTAGCATCATTTCTTCCCCACCTCTTTTCTGGTTTGATTTCTATGAGCTACTTTTTAAAGAGGCTTTTAAAAAAAAGGAAATTTAAACATGTTGTTAGGAGACTAGAAAGTTATAAGACATACTCTTCTTTCACCTCACTTCTTAACACATCGGATAGTCAAAACTTTAGTTACTAGCCTGGGCTTGCAGCAAGTAGCTATTTGCAATCTTGGTAAACATTGGCTTGGATGGTGCAGGAGTGGAAGAGGGTAGGATCTTGCCCCTTGGAGCTGTTTTTCCCTCCAGTGAATTACACACTTGCAGGGGAACAGACAATGAGGTGGCCAGGCAGACTCTGGTGGCACTCATTTTCCTCTTGGGCCCTGGGACTCTCCAGATTTCTATCCTGGCTCCCTTCAGCACAGAAGCCAGGCAGGTCCCCCATGCCTCTGGCAGGCTCCACGCCCTCACATTTTCTACTCTTCCTGCCGAAAGCTGTTGATGGCCACAAGCCCCAAGACTGAACAAGGCAGGTTTAGCTCAACACCCGTGGTCTTCTTAGCTCCTCACTGCCTCTCTACCCTGGCATACCACCAAACCCTCTCACAGAGAGGAAATAGCACTCGCCCTAGACATTTTGGGAAAAGCAGCACCATTCAGTGCAAGATAGTTTCCAAATATGCCCAAAGGCAAGTGGCACCTTGGTCCAAGACCAGACCAAGAGGTATAAGAAAGAACCGTTGAGAACTGGATGGATTTCTGAGAATCCTCTTTACAGTCTACTTTCTAGAAACACTATACCCATGGCACAGACCAGTCTTGCCACCAAACCCTACCCTTTTCCTCCCCTTTCTCTCCCTTTCAGCAATATTTAAGCTGTATATTTCTCCTGTGAACTCCTACATGATTGAAATTCATTGGTTTGGATAAGCAGAGGTTAATGGGAAGGGAGAGAGCCTGCATACATATGAAGTGAGGGGGAAATCTGTCATCTTTAGCCCAGTTCACCCACCTTGATGATACTTTGGGTAGGAGAAAATGATGGAGAGGTTTTAATGGAAGAAGTCACAGGGCTGGTACTATTGTATAGGGAATCCGAAATATTTCCAGGAAATGTGCTGGGCTGCAAGGTCGCCTCTGTGGTTGCAGAGCTGATGAGGGTGGAAGACACTGTGGTGGCGAAAGAGGTCTGTGACGGGACGGAAGAGTTCACGGTTCCAGAGACGGGGAGGCTCTCAGAGGTAGACGTGAAATTGACTGCAGACGCTGGAACTGACCGATACACAAGTGTGAGCACATGCACAGTGGCATAAACACACAGACAAACACACACACATCTCAGGTCATTCACAGGCTGGGACTTCAACCCAGGGAAGGGAATCTGGGGAGTTAAAAATCACTTCATACCCTAACCCTTGGCAACTCATTTCCAGTCAGCTGTTGGAACCATAGCTATAATCTAGAGTGTATTAGAAATGCCCTCCAAGACGCTGAGACTGAACTGGAAACTGGTCTACCTTAGAGACACCAAAGACCCCCAGTTTGAATCTGTACCCTGTTTCCTTCACTTAGAAAAGATCATAGACTCTTCTTTTGTCACTAAGCTGGACTCAGGAGTACAAGAATTACTGATCAGAACAAGCAGCCCAGACGCTGACTGCAGAAAGCTCTCACTACAGGAAGAATTGTCTAGAACATACTTCAGGGTTCCCTAAGCATGATACTCAAGCCATTATTCAAAGGAGCTTGTATGTTTTCATCTGTGGGGAGACATAGAGGGCAGGGGTAGTTTGCAAATATCCTAATGCTTTACCCAGCTGCCAGCAGCATCCTTCTGGGGGCTTGAGATGAGAAATCTTTACCTAAGGTGATGGGTGTGGTCCCATTGCTGTCCTGAGAGACATTGTAGAGGCTGGTGCTTCTAAAAGTACTTGAGTTCACGCTTCTCCAGTTGGATGTAGTTGCAGGGACAGGTGAAGATGTTCCTGGGCTGAGTGGCACTGTGGCATTAGTAGTCATGTTCATATCTGTGAATTCCATAGAAGCTAGAGAGAAACCGAGAAGAAATATCAGAGCCCAGATCATCCTGATGACTCATGGCATCACATGATTCAGTTTCTTGACATTAGGGAGAATCCATCTAGAACATCCCCTGGCAACAGAGTGGAACAAGGACACCCTCCTGGACAGTTGACTAATTTCCCACTAGATTTTTTTCCAAGGAAAGAGAGAAAGAAAAGTTCACATGCACCAAGCATCTAGCATAGTATTATTTATAGGAGAGAGAAGTTGCAAGCAACTAAATGAATTACAATAGGGTAGATGTTATATGCACTCAGCATAACATAATCACTGCAAACAAAAATATGCTACAGTTATAGCAGCACGAGAATGTGAGGCAATGCTCATAATAGGCTAAGTAAAATAGAAACACTTCAAATTACACCTGAATAAATATTGCCAAGATCTAAAATGTGGGAAAAGATGCACCTCTATTTCCTTTTGAATGTGTCCTTCTCTCCATTCAATTTATTAACTCAGAATAACCACTAGATTTACCAGCTTTATGCAATCCTTTAAAAAATCTTCTTTCCTTCCTAGATTGCCCCATTACCCAAATCCTTTCATTCTTTCCCTCAGGGCCTTAAAACCTATTCTTTTTTTTTTAAATTGAGGAACTGTGGCTCACAAGCTCAAGATTTCTTTCGGGAAACTCTGACCTAGGAATCTAGCCGATGGACTAGCGAGCATATGACTTGGTTTTTCATCAAACACCGTGGGGACAGACAGCTGGGTTCTGGCTCTGCAAAGAATTCAATAATTTAATGTGTGTGTGTACCAATTTTTAGATGAGGGTCTTTTCTTACTTGGGATTGTTGGGGAAATCAACGAGATAACAAATGCTATAGTATAATGTTTCTAGAACTAGTTATTCTCTGAGACTTTTCCTGCAGGTTCTTAACCCTCCCACGTTTCCTATGGTACCCAGCAGTGCCATCCTTAGGTCCCGGAAGGACCCTCCCTGTTCCCAAAACATGAGCAGTCCATGGGGCCAGCGGAGGTGTATCCTGTCTTCCAGATCATGTGCTGGGACCAGAAGTCCTAGAACTTCTTGCCCAGATGGCTCTCTGCTTACTGGAGGGCCTCCATGGCCCTCTTCACCTTCCAAGGGTGAACTGCAGCTCCAGGGAACGTTCTCCAAGCTCAAGGGGAGCCAGTGTGCAGGGCAAATGTGAGAGCTCAAGCGCGTGGCTGGGGTGTCCCTTGCCTGCACGCACGGTCCTTACAGTGTGGACCAGAGCCCTGGGTCAGAAGAGAAGAGTCTGGGCAAAGGCCGGGGACCATCTCTTCCTGCTAAGCCCCCCTGCTAAGCCGTTGGCCGAACCCAATGGCTCTGAGAGTCTTAAGTTCAAATCTGGCCTTCCAGGTGGCCATGAAGGTACATTTTTAAGAAGATAGAAGATATTTTATCTACCAGTTCATTGGCCTGATTTATAACTTGAGGAATTTGGACATATAATATATGGGATATGGGCCTCCACCGTATTCTTGGCTTGAGCCCTAGAAACAATTAGAGGTAAGCTTGGTATCCACTGTTCACACCCAGCAATACTATCCTCAAGGAAAGGCCCCCCGGGGCCCCAGGGCACCCTAAAGCTTGTCTCTAACTTTTCTGATTGAGATCTGAGTCTGTATTTTTCAGAGGTTTCCAGGTAAACGCAGTGCAGGAGAACACCTCTTCTTTGGCGCAGCCTCAAGGCAGCAGTTAGGCAGTGGTTTCAAGGCAATGAATTTTCCCCCAAAGGTGGTGTCAAGTCTCACTCTCCGTCATCCACCTCTCTTCCCAGCCTGCTGCAGGTAGGCTGGTACTCATGCTGAGTACAAAGCACCCATCTGAAAATGATGGGGCGCAAGAGGAGGAGGAACACGTGGTATTACTATTTCCATTTCAGAGATAAGAACCTGGATCACTGAGGTTTTAGCCAAGGGGCAATGCTGTCATTCACGCAGGGCAAGGAGCCATGGGTTCCCCCAGGCTTAGCTGACTCTTGAGTAGAAGCAGCAACAGGGTCAGGGAGTCCAAACTGCTAAGGATCAGGATGCATCTTCCACACTTTGGAGAGAAAAGGATGGGCTTCTGGCTGGCTGGGGTTGGGGGTGGAAGTGCAGGTAGGCTGGTACTCATGCTGAGTACAAAGCACCCATCTGAAAATGATGGGGCGCAAGAGGAGGAGGAACACGTGGTATTACTATTTCCATTTCAGAGATAAGAACCTGGATCACTGAGGTTTTAGCCAAGGGGCAATGCTGTCATTCACGCAGGGCAAGGAGCCATGGGTTCCCCCAGGCTTAGCTGACTCTTGAGTAGAAGCAGCAACAAGGTCAGGGAGTCCAAACTGCTAAGGATCAGGATGCATCTTCCACACTTTGGAGAGAAAAGGATGGGCTTCTGGCTGGCTGGGGTTGGGGGTGGAAGGAATGAATCTCTCAGAATAAAATAGATGGGGAAGCAAACCCAGTGGTCTTGTCTTTAAATCAGTCCCCCTCATCCTCTGTCATCCCCTTCTTCTGCTGCTTTTGATCTTTCCCAGGGGACCACAGAGGACGAGACAGTTGGATGGCATCCCCGACTGCATGAACATGAGTTTGAGCAAGCTCCGGGAGATGGTGAAGGACAGGGAAGCCTGGCGTGCTGCAGTCCATGGGGTCGCAAAGAGTCGGCCACGACTGAGCGACTGAACAAGTCCCTCTCAGCAATCTGACCCGAAGGTCTAAGTTCAGCGCAGGGGGCAGGTGGTGGGAGCATTTGGACACTGAACTGAAGGACCGTCCTCCCAAGGTTCCCATTCCAAGGCACCACGGGCGTTCCCCCTGACATCCCTCCTCCTGCCCACCCTGGTTTCTTCTTCCCTCCAGGACACCGATTCTCGGGAATCCCATCTGGCCTGGCCTGGCCCAGCCCTCTCCTCTCCCCAACGAAATCTGGGCCTGGCTCTCGAGGTTACGTCATGCTTTTGAACCCCTTCCCCCGGGGCCTCCTTCACCCAGACAAACAGTTTTGAACTTTTCCAGATGTGAAGAGAGACCCACTGCCCGTTCTGCGCGCGGAGGTGGCTGCTCCAGAGGAGTGAGGCAACCCTGCACCCGGCCAGCTCCTGAGCCACGGGGTCAGGCTCCCGGCTGGGGCTGCCTCCTCCCACGCTCTCCCCCCCGCCAAGAACGGCGGAACAGGTTGCAGGAGCTGTCTGCAAACGAGGAGGGAACCCTAACCGCAGATTCACATCCCCGAGTCCAGGCGGAGTGGGGAAGCCCGTGAGACCCTTGAGAGACAGGACAAAGAGGGAAGGCAGGAAGGCAAGGCTGGGCCCTGGGGTCGATCCTGACCTAGCCGGGAGACTGTCGGTGAGGGCGGCTCTTGTTTTCATAGTCTCTAGGGCTCCCTCTCTAGTGCTCCCATGAAGAGATGGGTCTTGGAGGAACGCAATGAAAAGCATCAGGACTGACCACAGGTCTGTGTTTATCCTGTCTTCCCTGACATGCCCATGGCGTTAGACCACCCAAGGCGGATCTTTCTTTATCCGAGCTTCTCATCCCCAACTGCGTATGGAAGTCATAGCAGCCTCCCAGCCAGATCCAAGAGCTGGTCAATGAAGTCTCCACCCCATTTCGCTCTAGAAACTGGAGGAACGGCTCTTACCCAACCCAACAGAGCATTATGCCACAAGTTAAACTTGAACGAACACCTATCTTCTGCTGTTCACCTCTCACTCCATCTGTATTAACTGTGTCTCCTGAAGCACCCTGTTTGCCCCTACCTACCCTACTTGATCTCAGCCCATGAACTTGGGATAAAAGGAGACAAGGGATCTGGCAGTCACAGACATGAGGATTCCAAGAAGCCAGAGATGTCACGAAATTTATGTTGTAAACGTCATGCACTTAACTTAGAGGTACTTATTTCAGAGGCAATTGGTCTTGTCTGACACAGAATTCTAACAAACGTCTTCATCTGCTATCCTAGTCAAAGCTAAAAATTAGTAAGGGACTACTAGAAGCAAACAACAAGGCGAACCAACAGCTGAAAATGAATAAACAGCAATAAATTAAAACCAGACACAAGTATTAAAACCCACACTAGTCTGGAACCACTTGTGGTCAGAGTAAATAAAAAATACACACTTTCATAAGTATTCACACTCAATGCGCATGAATCTGAGCAAACTCCAGGAGATAGTGAAGGACAGGGAAGCCTGGCCAGCTGCAGTCCATGGGGTCTCAAAGAGTCGGACATGACTTATCGGCTGAACAACAAGAATTAACAACGCCGTTGAGTTACACCATAACCAAATTATTTTCTGGATACATCTAAGTCTGAAGGTTAAAGCCCCTTTGCCCCTAATACACTGAGAAAGCAGAGGCGTATGTAATAGGTTTTTAAAAGATTTCTACCTACAATTAATATATTGAAAATTCTTTTAAACTTTAAAGGGCGTTTACAAATCTTCAGAGATCCAGAAAGTTCTGCTGCCTAAATTACTAAATTCCTGTGCTTTAGGAGATGTTTTTTCCCCATTATTTGGTCTTGTTTTTCGCAGGCCCTCTGAGCTATAGTGGTGCTGTTTTGTTTGTTGTTGTTTTTTTTTGCTGGTGCTGTTTTCTGATCTCCTAGCCAGTCAGCCCCATCCTGCCCATCCTTTCAGGTTCTAGCACCTGACCTGAGAGCAGTTTCCTGGAGGAGATCTTGGATATCTTAGATACAGAGCTGGGAAGAAGGAACAAGCTGGCTTCTGCTGGGAGCCCACAGCCCATGTTGATGGTTGATGGGAAGACAGGAGACCCCAGAACAGAGAGCTCAGACTCTGTACTTGGACTGTGTTGAAAGGTTCCTCTACCAAGACATGGAAAGCCTTTTCACCTTTCTATACCTCCTCTGTAAAATGGAGATAAAAATAGCCCCTTCCTCCTTGCTTTTTGGAGGAATAAAGGAGATAAGCGGTGTAAAGCAATTGTCTGTCTGCTAAGTGCTCCAGAAACAGTGATTATC